GTACTGCGAATTGAGGGATCGTAAGGAGAGGTGGGAGTCAACAGTTTGACTTTGGATTGACCAAGCGGTTGTTACTTGGCTGCCATTGCGGGGCCCTCAGGCAACTCAAGGCAACAAGGCCCTCTCCTGAGAGTTGAGTTGTCCCTCTCTTGGATCTCGAGTGTCTGAATACTTCTCTTTCTGCCCTTCTGACTTTAAGTCTAGTTTGTTGGTTTTGAGAGGAAGGCGGCAGGCGGGATTGCAACCCGTAGGACTGCGCCAAGACCTTTGTGGGAGGTTGCCCCACCGATTGCGGGAGCCCTGCCAGAACTTAGGAAGAGTTGTGGAGGCAGGGAACTCAAAGGTAACCATTGCTTTCCGTCATAAACCCAGTATAACCCCTATCTATACATCTCCCTGTGTATTGACTGACTGTATTGTATGCGACCCTTATTTTGACTTTGGGTTGACTTTCAGGATGTAAATCAGATCTACTAAAAGGATGTATGTATAATGGCAGTTTCAGTTTCTTTGATTGCCTGAAAGCAGATTGTCACAAGGGGTTGCATTAGGGGGAAGGTTGGGAGCAAGGCAGTTTTGCTTGTGATTGAATGGGTCTTATAGGGTCAGGCATTGTTTCTAAGATGAATGGCATGACTGCTATGTTTTGTTTTGTTTTCTGTAGGACCAAGCATCGTTTCTAAGGTTAATGACTTGGTTGTTGTGTTTCTTTAATTGTGCCAGACATTGTTTCTAAGATGAATGACCTGGCTACTTACTTCTGAGGGGTATTTCTTGCTTGATTTTTGAGGGTCAGACATTGTTTATAAGTTGAATGGCCTGACCGCTGTTTTACTTGGGTGGTTTCTGAACAGTCTCTTGGTCAGACCCTGGGTACTCTGCTTTTTTTGTGTGTGCTGAAAGAGGGAGAGCTGAGCATTGTTTCTAAGATGAATGACTCATCTCTCCTTGATTGTTTTTATTATAAGGAAGGATTCATGACCAAAAGACTAGATATTGTTTCTAAGATGAATGGTCTAAGTCTGAGGTCTCAGGACTATAATGAGAACCATGGAATATGATTCTCTACATTGTGATATATATATATATATATGCTTATATACGAACAAGGCTAGTCAGGCATTGTTTCTAAGATAAATGACCTGACTATAGCCTTATCACAAGCGAAGAGAGTATAATCAAGAGTTATAAGTGAAGGTAACTTGGGCCGACTGAGTATTGTTTCTAAGATGAATGGTCTAAGTCTGAGGTCTCAGGACTATAATGAGAACCATGGAATATGATTCTCTACATTGTGATATATATATATATATATGCTTATATACGAACAAGGCTAGTCAGGCATTGTTTCTAAGATAAATGACCTGACTATAGCCTTATCACAAGCGAAGAGAGTATAATCAAGAGTTATAAGTGAAGGTAACTTGGGCCGACTGAGTATTGTTTCTAAGATGAATGGCTTAGTCCTACGCTCATTCTTGAAGATTAAGTTCAGAGAAGTATATATAATTTGGCTACTTAAACAGTTCAGGGCGACTAAGCATGATTTCTAAGATGAATGACTTAGTCATGTGCCCCAATGAAGAGAAAAATAGTTGTGCAGCCTGTTCGTGTATAATTAAAGCAGAGGGTTGACATTGTTTCTAAGATGAATGACCAATCCCAATGCCCTATATAAGCCGAGAGTAAAGGGTTAAATAATTGAAAGACTATGAACTATTGTTTTGCTAAATTAACTTGGGGTGGCGAGAGTACTTACCTTTGTGGCTTGGCCTGCATGTGACTGAGTGAGGCTACTACTTGATCTGAGTTTCAGTTTGATAGGTAGTTGCTTTAGTTGATCGCCACGTGCGAGAACCATAAGAGTTAGTTTTGATTCCTGTATTTTCTGAGCTAAGTTTTTTTACTTAGATCGATTGTCACATTTTCAGAGATCTTTTGTTATACTTCGCTTTGTATAAATTTTGGTAAGCTACTTTCTCTACGAGAAGCACTGCCGAAATTTCTGCAAATCCAAAGAGTTAGTTAAATCTTGACTCGTCAAAGTTCAACTTGTCTTAAGTTTATATATGACTTAGTAAAAATCTGGAAAGTCCCCTTTTCTAAAGGGAGTGCTGCCCAAATTTTTGCTAATTCAGGGAGTTAAACAAAATTGGATTTTGGAAAGTCAAAGACTATTTTTTTGTTTCATATTCGGGCTGCTATAAATTCCGAAAAAACACTTTTCCTACGGGAAGCGCTGCCGAAATTTTCGTAGTTTAAAGGAGGTAGACTATATTTCGACAGGTGGCGATTTTTGGCAATCCACTCTGTATAGGGGAGATCATGCCAGGGTTTACCTTTGCTTGGGCACTGCTTAAAGGTAGATTCAGGCGTAGTTAATTAGAAGGATCTTGGATGAGAATATGTTATGGAGTTGTATTATCCATACACTTATGTTTTTAGCCTGAGATTGACCTGTCTTGTGTTACAGGTCCTCTTGATCGTATTGATTAAGGACTTGGACTAGTTTCAACTTCATCCTACGAGGATCATCTCTGTTATCACTGATAATAGGTCGGTTGCCGATTCGTCGGTTTACGATTCAACTCCAATTCACTCCTGCCACTCAACCTAAAGGCTTTAGCCTTGAGATTTGAATTGTTTTGTTGTGTTTTTATCCGGACTTTATTGAATGGTCATCCAACAAAAATACTGAGTATTTATTTAAGAGTTGCACGAGTGAGGCTTGTATGGCTAAAGCGAGGGGTATGAGTGCTAGGAATGGTTGAAGTTGACTCCGTGTAGTGCGTGGACTTCTGGTTGAATCTTTGATGTGATTGCAGGTACGGTTGTGGTTCGAACTCTGAATAAGATTGCCTGCGATTTCATACATATATGGCTGAGAAGAGCCTCATTGTGACTGTGAGAAGTGATCGTCCTATATAATCAACCCTTACGCATTTATAAGTGCCCTGAGTATGTGAGAGACCTACTGTAACTGAGCATAAGGGTTAACCAAATTGTGTCTTAAGAGAAAAGGGAGATTCCCTTTTCATCCTTTGCTTTTTAGAGATTTTTATAGTTGGACGTTATAGTCCGTGGCAACCGTCAAAGTCAAACCCCTTGATGTTCGACCGCCACGACAGCTTAAAGCTGTCTACTCAACCCCTCTGCACAAGGTGCAGAAGAGGGTGTGGTCTTCAACCGCGCACGACGGTTGTCCAGCGTCGAGAGATTAACCCTCAAGGCGCGTGTCAGCCGACACTTGAGTATCGAATGCGACCCTCGCAATAAACGGGGACCGCGTGAGTACGGGTACTACATAGTACGCCATCATTGCGACTGCTTGCGTACGCTTGCATTGCGAGTCGATATGAGTTAGCCCTCCGTCCGTGCGGTTTTATACTGAGTCTCGCGCGCGACACCTATTCGATTTTCGCGTCAGAAAGTTATGGGACGGCTACTGAAGGGACTAGGAGTGTTGTCACGTTGTTCGATGTGTGTGTGTGTGTGTTTTATTTTTGTGTTCGTAAAGTGGTGTGCGCGTGGTGTGTGGGATGCGTCCTAGTCGACCAACGACGAGCCGCGCTTGGCACTTCAGCCCCCCAAAATGTCGGTTCGCGTGCTGGTCCGACAGGCGTATTACCCCGCATACCCCCTATGCTACAGCGAACGAGAAACGCCCTCGGCTGGTCCACCTCTGCGATTGCAACCGAGTAGCTTTCGTACTGTGAACTGGTAGCTCGGTGGGGATATGCCCACCGAAGGGAGGTGACAACTCCCGTAAGGTGGAGGTAAGTTGTGCCTCGCGTAGGCCCTATCCTGTCGTAGGGGCTCGCGAGAGGTATGGCTGGCGCACTCGGCCGGAGCGGCCTAAGAAAACTCTATTTGTGTGTTTGCGGTAAGGTTGTTCCAGCTCCTGCGTGACGCGGCCGAGAGGGTCCCGCGCTGCCGTGTGCGGTGCCGAACCGATGCGCCCGACAGGTGGCGCCGTTGCCGGGGATAACGGCTGCCTACCGTTGTCCCTGGTGGAACGACACCCGGGTAGATTGACAGAAAACCAGACATATATGGAAAATTTTTGGATTTGTGAGATAGATTGCGGAGAGTTTGTACGATTGTTTAAGTAAAGGGTTATGAAGATTTTGAATTTCTGTCTTCGATTTGGCGGAAGGGTCAGTTAGCCGGATGGTGCGATGAGATTGCTAAAGAGGGAGGAACGGACTCTAGTTAGATGAGCCTAGAGTCCAGAAGTGAGACGCGTGGTAGTATCTGACTAGGCGCGGGCCGTGCCAAGATCGTGTAAGGGAGTCCGGTAAGTATTCAGTGAGCCGGATTGTTGAGTAGAGTGCTATTATTCTTTCCTTGTTTGTATAACGGGCCGATTGAGTGAGACGATGCGTTTGGTGGAATATGAGTGACAGGGGAGTGATAGGCGTGCTGACTATATGCGGATGTAGTCTTCTTACGACCTTCAAGTTGATAGTTGATGGGATGGGGCGATGCCTTGCCCAAGTGACATGGCTAAGGAAAGGTGAAGCAACATCGATAAGGTTAAGCACGTTTATCAAATGATATGGCCGTATGAGGTACCTATTATGACCGTAAGGGTCTTTACAGCAGCATCGTATGTCTGCATTTGCGTGAGGCCAAGGCTAAGTAATTGATCCTAGAGGCAGTTGGAATGGTAGTGGGTGGGGTCTAACGTTTAGATTATTCTGCTCAGTCTTAAGTTAGACCCTTGCTTGAACCTTTCCAGGTTAGGACCATTCGTTTCGGGAGCTAAGGACTTGAGGTTAAAGTCTTGAGGGCATTCCCTTAAGTTATATATTGTAAGCCTAGTCTATGTCTATTTACGTAAAGGATACCTCTTTCGGAAGTACTCCATGGGGGCTATTTATCTGATTCACATTGGGATTTGACCAGTCTGTGGGAATTTATATGAATGCTTCCAGTCCAGCATTTGGCTCATGGTTGGCCATTTAGCCTGTACGTTTGGGGCGCTCTTCCGAGAAGGGTAGGGATTGTTAGTTTAATAACGGAAGGCGCGTGCTGGACGTTTGTCTGTGATGGGCAGAACCCAGACAAAGCAAAGGCAACTCAGGATGCCTTATGCACGGAAAGACCCACGTATGCTCGGGCCGGTTGAGAAAGAGGGAGGGCTCGAGGTGTCTTTACTCAGGCGAGTCAGAGCAGGAGAGTACTTCTCTTCATGGTGGGGCATGCTGATAGGCACGGACACCTTTATCTGGATCGAGTCTGGGTTTGATGATGAGCGGGAATGCGCAATTGTAAGGGTGACCCTGTACGCCTCAGCCGCCTTCTGGATCGAGCATGGGATAGAGTTGGCGCTCAGGCATGGGAGCCTGCTTGCTAAGCCGTTGAGGGTAGCCGAGGCAGCCGCGACAAAGTGGGCGAGGGAAGTGTCCCGCGATGGGGAAGAGCGAATACTAACCCGCGTAAGGGTCGAGCGCGCTGGAGAGTTCGGGCTTCCATCTGCTCCGCTGCGAGTAATCCTGCCTGAGTTTCTGATAGAGAAAAGTTTTGGTGGGCAGGCGAAGGTAGAGGCGGCAGCTGAAGCTGCTCTGAGAGCGCGAGATTGAGAGTATGGGCGATACACATGCGAACTGATATATGGTCTATACCTAGACCTGAGATTCCTGCCCTCTAGTCAGTGGCTCAGGAACACGACCAATACACTGGACGTATATGCCTCGTCTCATGATCCGAATGAGGGAAATGTAGACTGGGAGGAGATTCGGACAGTAGTGGGCCGATAGGGGATGCCGTCCGTTTCTACTAAATGCGTTTCCTTTGACTTGGTCGGAGTCGTCTCTCTGCCCATTATTGTAGTTAGGAATGTAAGCGTCAGGGTAACTAGGGGTTGAGGCCTGATTGCATGAGTAAAGGAGTAGATAGCGAGATTTAAGTGTTAGCAGTCTGTCCTTGTCTGCCTGAGCTTACTTAAATCACTGTTTGATGGTCTATTGCCCGCTGTGCGTATCAGGTTGTTGTCAGCATCATGGCGGGAGAAAGCGGCTTCGCCAAGATCCTGCTTTGGAGGAGTTCGTGCCAAATGAAGGTGTTGTTGCGTGGGGGATGCTCTGTTGCACCAGTTGCGGGCCCACCATCACAGGCAGAGCTAAATGGGCTACAAAAACAAGTAGGGGTATTGGAAGAGAGGTTAGCACGATTGGAAGAGGCCAGGAATGGCAAAAGGAAGGCCTCTGAGGGAGCATCGAGTGGGCCGACTGCAGGAGGCGAGGCAGAGGCAATGATGGATTACCAGGAGCTACTCCCCCACAAGAAAGCCCCGCGAGGACGAGCTTGCGCCCCGGAAAGGGGTGGAGGTGAGGGGGTCATTGAGGTCAAGGAGGAGCAAGAACCCAGTATGGTTCCACCCGTTATTGCGCCTGAGCCAGAGGGAGGGCCCATTAACAGGGAAGTACCCTTGACTGCGGGTCGAGGGAGGCAAGGGAGTGAGTGGTGGCCAGAGCACTGGGTAAAGGTGGTATGTGATCATTGGGGAAAGATTGGTCGCACCCCTCAAGGAAGTAAAGAAAAGGGCGTGACGGGAGAAAAAGGAGAGCCTGAACCTCCCAAGTTGTCCAAGGCTCAGCGGAAGGCGAGGAATCAGGCCCAGGAAGGTTAGGGTACCGGAAAGGGGCAGTGCTCACGACAGGTGGAGGCTGCACCGCAAGAGGTGGAAGGCGGAGCAGCACAAGCGAGACCCCCGCCGATTGGGCATGCGCTATACGGGCAGTGGGAACCATGCGGTCAAGTAGAGCCAAGACCTACGTATAATCCATATGTGCCCTGGGTACAAGGCAGTTGGTTGGGCCCACAAATGAATATGATGCCACCCAGGCCTCCTGCAATCCAGTTTCAGCCAGTCTTGTGTATGAGACCATTGTTGCCGCCGATACCACAAGGGGCACAAGGCCAAGTTGCCGGTGGAAGGGGTCAAAAACGAAAGGCTGAAAGGGATTGTAGGGATGAGGGGCAGGAGAAAGAGAAGTGGGGTGGTAGCAAAGGTGGCGCTGGAGGAAAGAAACTGGGTTGGGGAGAGGACATTTGCAGACATTGTGCCAAGGAAGGGCACATAATGAAGTTTTGTCGAGAACGAAGGGCCGATGAAGCAAGCGGTCTTATAAGGACAAATATTGAGGGAGATGTTTTCGACAGGGCTGGGGAGCATATCGATCCAACCATCCCTGGGGGAACACGGAAGGAGGCTTTGCGGCGAGAGGCAACATGGAGCACGGCCTCGTGAAAGTAGTCGTAAACAGAAAGGGTTGTGAGAGGAGGGCCTGGAAATGTAAGCAGACTGTAAATGCAAGCGATAAATCCCAATCGAATAGTTGTTGCAGGTAGGCACAGCGTACAGAGGGAAGAGATCTTCATAATAATGGTCCGGTAAGGTGGCTCGAGTTGTAGGCAGGAGGAACCCCAATAGAATAACTGTATATATGGGGTATGTTAGGTCTGCCTCACGTCATGTTATTGGAATGCCTCAGGTAGATGGAGCACGAAGTGACCCTGAGGGCATTGTTACGAAGTAGGGATCTGGTTCATTAGGCCTATTGATCGAGAGAAAAGATATGGGACCTACGTCGTGCCTAGGCCTAGATAGACGTATAGGTGTGAGAGGTAGGAGAGATTTGGGAAGAAACCTCAGCGTGGGGGAAATAGGTCATCTAGCCTAGGGAAAAAGTTGCAGGACTGGTGTATGGGCGACTCCTAACCTTACTTTTCTTTGGATATCTGGATATGTCCTGGATCACTTGGGTCCCTCGGATTGAGAAGTATAGCTACATCGTGATCAAATTGTTTTAGCTATAGCTTTGGTCAGGGAGACCGCATTTATTCTTGTGTGATACCAAGGTCGGTTTGAGTTGAGATTATTCAACTCTGAGTGTATATATGTAATTCGAGACCATTTGGTTCGTGTTTGAGTTGGGGCATTGCACCCCTCCGCGTGTATTGAGTTGAGGTTTTTATCCGAGACTACTCTTTGTATATGACAATCACAATCACTCTCACATGTGTGGTTTATCCTGATGTATGATGATTTTGCGTGAGAAATGCATGAGGAACATCTCGTGAGTTGTGTGGATTTTGTAAGGATGAATGAATGTGAACTGTCTACTCTTCGGTATACTCGTGCGGCCTGCCTACAGGCGGGACGGGGCCGAGTATAAGGAGAGGGAGCGTAGTTTGTTATTGTGAAAGAGTGAGAATCCTAAGGGATTTTGCGAGTCTCTGAGACTCGAATACTTACCATGCCGAATGTTTACGGTTGAGTTGTGGAGAGGACCCATAAGTAGGCCTCTCAGTTTGAGTTGTTCTATCGTGGAGTGGTTCTATGGTTGAGACCCCTTCAGATTAAGGAAGGTGGTAATGTTTATTTAGTGAAAGACTTATCCCCCAAAAAGGGTCGTGTGATAGTTCATCCTAAAAAGAGAGAGATGGCTGGGAGACCTATTGAGAGAGACCTCCTTCATGTGAAAGGTGGTTCATGGATTTAAGGGCATGGTAAGCAGTGTCTGAGTTGATAAAGTCTAACGAAAAGGGACCACGTTTGCTTGAGATGTTTAAGAAAGTCGCAAAAGAGTGTAAGGCGAGAGACGTCTCAGGATGGGTAGCTGCTGGCTCTGATCAAGTCAGGGGTTACGGCCTTGTGGACCTAGCGGATTTTGGTTGTGATTGTGCGAAGGATGCCATGCCTTTCGTGGGAGAGTTGGTAAATGCCTTCAGACCCCTGCGTAATCTCGCAGTGGCCCGTGATTAGTTTTGCGACGCTCCGTCTAACCACTTGTGCTAGTTCTGGGACATAGTAGAGGAATACCAAGCTAAGCGGTAAAGATTGACACCTCTAGGGCGTAACCCCAGCGGATGGCTGCTAGCCGGCGCAACCTGGCTACGGGACCGCGGAGTAAGAGTTTAAGGGGAGCTGCCCACCCCAGGGAAATTACTCCGTGGGGTAGTAAAGGTTGAAAGTTTTTGAGAAATCCTGATTGAATGCTTATCAGGAGAAAACCTATCGTTGCATAACCAACGAGGGTACTGCCGCTAAAATAACAATGCGGTGGGCCGTAGGCCTGGTCCGATCAGCCAGGCTATGATGGGCCAAGATGGAGACCTAGCCTTTCTGTACTAGACTGCAGAAAGAGCTGAGTGGATATTAAGTATACAAATATACGTATGTGTATATGATTGCGAAAGATTCTCTGAGGAAGAAGGCGAGAGTGCCTTCAAAGGTCTCGGTTAGGGCCCGCATCCCTAGTTTTGGCCATGACTAGGGACACCCAACGAGAAGTCGAAGGTTGTCTAGGACCGGGGGGGGAGGATGATTGGGAAGGTTTTTGGAACTTATGCTGTCAGCGTCCTAATACCAGGGCGAGAAAGCCCGGGTTAGAAACCAGGCAGTATATAGTTGTGGAGGCATGGTTTGATGGAGGCCTCTACCCTGTGTTTGTCGGCTAATCGGATTGGTTTCTCTTTCGTCAGCATCTTGGGTAATCTGATAGCTTTTCGATTTTGCGAAGCGACCGGGAGGTCGCTTAAGGTGGTCCGGTAAGTTGTCGGCGCAAATACCCTTACAAGGGTATCCGCCCTGGTTTTTGCAAATGACAGAAAAATGAGTTTGGCTTAAAGTTAAGTATACCGCGCGAGGCGCGACAGCGTCCGCGTGGTGACGATGGTTGGATGGTTGATTAAAACAAAGAGTGTGTGGGCGCGCCGGTTTGATGCGCGTGTGATTCCGTTTCTATCGTTGATCATAAAGTCAGCACGGACGCCAGTCGGTTCGTTTCTATTTTTATCTTTATTGTTATTTTTGTTTATTCCTGATTAGGCTAGGATTTAAGGATATTTTTCTTTTGTTGGTACGTTTGATTGAGTTACGCGTGCGTACGGAGGACGACCTCGACGGCAGCGACGAAGGCGATAGTGTGACTGCGGTAGGTCTTGGCACGCGGAGTGGCGCGAGTGGCGGTCGTGGTACAGCTTGGTAAGCCGGCGCAGACGCTGGGCGGCCGCGCGCACGGTTGTAGGCTGAGATGAGGCTCAGGCCAATTTCCCTAGCCCTGAGTGCAGCGCCGTACCGCCTTAGATGACACTCCACGGATATTAGTCTCAGGCTTGGGCTTAGCCCTATAGGTTACGACACTCGGTCGACAGTACGGAGGTCCAGGGATCGAGGCCAGCACGACGTCGGCGCAGTGGCAACGTAGCAGCGTGGAGCAAAATCTGAGGGGTTGAGGGCCCAACAGGGCTATCCCCCTCGGTTTTGTTAAAGGGCGAGGCGGCGGGCCCGACCCACGGGGGAGCCAAGGTGTTTGTAGTTCCTCTTCTTTTTCCTCGTTTTTTATTTTTTTATTTTTTTTTTATTAAGTTTTATTTTTCTTATACCTCTTGTTATTTTTGGTTTTAGCTTTCCCCCTGTTCGCGTCCCGTTTCGGAGGTGGTACCGGGGCTGATATAGAGGCGCACAGGGGTGCGTTCTATTCACGGGTTGCCTGAGGTTCGATTATGAACTGTTGTCGTGACTGCGCCGAAGTTACCCCTTCATAGTACTGCGGGGAACCCCGTAGCAGCCATATCCGTGCTCAAGCCTCCGACGTGGGAACAACGTGGGAGCTGAACCCACCAGCAGGTGCGCTACCTGCTACAGCAGGTGGGTGTAACCAGCCAGGGGTCAGCCGGTAGCATTAGGACCGAGCCTTTTCGAAGGGCCGGTCACTCGACTCCCCCTCCGGTCCCCTCCCCCTATGACCGTTAGCAGTTGGTTCGGGACCAACGACTTACGTATAGTAGYCGAYGGTACTKTGTTGCGTAGCAGCGGGTACGAGGCTGTGGAATAGGGTGGCGGAGCTACGCGSAAGGGAGAGGAGGATAGCGCATTGTGGYCGCGGGGCTGTSGGCACCTCCGCTGCACAGAAGTGAGGCGGGGTGGTAAAAACGGGGAATGAACCCGGATGRGTTCCCGGCCGGGTACATGCRCAGAGTAGCGAAGGKGGCGGGACCGACGACATATCCCTGAGCAGCGGACTATGGGTCCGCTACTGTCGAAGGGGGGGCGGTAGCTGAGGGGGCAAAGGTGGGGCACCGGRGAGCGTAGAAAGAAAGAGYAGCGGATGTTAGAAAAGGGCGAGTAGRAGCCGCRGATAGTAGATYGATCCGCTACGGGCAGCACACCGCCGGGCRCTGTCGGGGGGCTGTGAGGTTGGARGAAGGGGGGGGTCGAACCTGGTCRACGAAACGAGCCAGGTGCATGYAGGGGMTGYGGGCGGAGATGGSAAYGKGGATGGCGAGAAGACAAGCCAAGCGCTAGCGCAGCGGTGGGGGGTGAGAGCGCAGCAAGGCGATAGGACGAAGGGCGGCGGTGGAAGGRGAGAATGAACCTGGACCGCACGTCGCGCCGGAGGYATGMAGATGGGGGCAGGGCGCAGAGATGGACAAACGGAGCATSGCGGGGTGAAGACGATAGAGGTGAGGCAGAGAGGAGTGCGGCGAGAGAGGCAGAGTAGTGACYGGTAGCGGAGCGAGGGCGTCTGAGGCGGAAGGAAAGGAAGGGAACGAACCCGGGCGRGAAGATGCRTCGGGTGCATGCGAAGGAGGGGGGCTATGRCAAAAATAGAAAGAGGTGATATTTCGCTYGATTCTTAACGAAAYCGAGCGAAAWARAGTCATCAACTRTGTTTTTTCTGTGCTGCGACTTAGAAA